GTAAATTGCATTATCTAATCACAAAAGATATACAAACGCACTGACTCGCCAAATGCACTGCAGCTCCGTACTCGATCTCAAACCTGTATATTCGTCGTTGGTATTTAGTGGACTGCATTCTGTATACCTAATGTCGTACACCTTCAGTAAATCTCAAACCATTCATCTGTCCCGGAATTCATTGTTTCTTCTTGCAGACGTTGTTTAGTCTGAAGAACGGCTACTCGCCAAATACGGCAAAAATTTCGAATTCTACCTTCTTATATCAGAGTATACCACAAAAAACATCTATGTCGATGGAACTCGAGTAACTGTCAACATCTCCAAGCTCACGCTACAGTACCTAACTAATTTGCGTTTTTCCCTTTTCTCAGCTCGATGACTGTAAGTAGAATTTGCATAACATAAAACAGATACCTGTATTTCGGTGTATGTGGAAAATTCACTGATAATTACTTTAAGGCTGCGTTCTTCAGGCAAGATTAAAGGGAAATATTTAATGCCCTTAGTGTTAAAAGAATGGTCATCGCTCTGTGAATCGGAACGCTTCTTACTGACACTTTGAAGTCCATGTGAGATATTTTATTTCCTTTAAAGGCCATGATACTGGAGCCTTTGGAACATTTTTATGAAGTCCTTTCACGTACACACAGTCCTTTACAGCAGGAAGTGCTCTTGCAGTTCACTTCGGATGATGAAATTCTGTATTATTTGCAATTTTAACTTCTTGATTTATATTTCTTGGAAAGTTAGAAATAATCTCAATAGCATTTGCATCACCATTGGAATTGTTCGGTATGCAAGCTTTATCCACTTGTTTGGCAGGAGTAGAGTGTGGGATCTTTCGAGCTGAGTGCTGAGTTCGGCTTACGCGATGTCTTCTTGGAGTAGTTAAGACTTGTGTAAATTTCGGATTTTTTTGCTTTAGCTTCTCCATCCAGCAGGATGCCTTCATATGGATTTGATACAGAAACCTTTTACTGGTGTCAGGATTCTTGGGTGTTTAGTGTTAGAGAACGCTGCATTATCTTCAATATCAGGCTCTGGCTTTTCCATCAACAGATTGGAGAAGTGGTACAAGTAGCACCAGCAACTCAGCATGGGATAGTTTGTAGTAGGAAAGAACAGTCTTCTGTTCACTGCGTTTACCGAAAATATAGCAAGTTGTCGGCTAAATTTAGATTGAAAACCCCTTTCATTTTAATCAGGACAGGTAAAGCCAAGGGGATCAAAGATTTTATGTACGTTTGACAAGATTTTTCTCTTTGTCAGAGCCCTATCGTCTTCAACATTTTCTCTTAATTCTACCGTCAAAAAGTCATTCAAAAGTTCCACTCAAGCCCTAGAACTGGAATATTCTTTTCATTTTTTGGAACAGAGTTATCTACGTAAAAGGATTCCAACAGCTTGGTGGCTATTTTTTCAAAACGGTTAGGAGCATTCTGTAAATGAAATCGAATGGTTGCTCTCAAAAGATACGGGAACATATACAACCCGTCTATGCTGGAAAACTTTAGGTTTGGCAGAATCACCGCCCTCCCACCATAAAAACTTTAGATATGATCGATCACTCAGTCCACTTTGTAGAAAGGCTCTATGAATGTCCGCAACAACGCTTATTTTCTTTAATCTAAATCGATTCATGATGGCGGGAATGAGCTAGACGGTGTTGGGACCCTTTTCCAGGCAGTCGTTGATAGAAGGTGAGTTCTTTTCTCTGGCTTGATCCATCAAAAACCCATCTCCCTCTTGTAGTGGAATTTTCTTTCACTACTGTCCTTTGAGGTAAGAAGTGTTCACTTTCTTCGTTACAGGAATTCTTAACTTCTTCAATAACGCCTTCTTGAAGCCACTCTCTAAGTACTTCTTCGTATGCTTCTAAGTTTCCATTCCTCTTCAGTGATTCAACGCAGCCCTTTAGCCTTCGTTCTGCAACATTTTTGCAAGAGGGCAAAGGAGGATGGCCTTGTATCCACGGGAGACTTACAACGTACCTTCCATCGACATCTAATTTTATACTTCGGTTAAAATGTTCTTCAGCTGCCATCTCAAGCTCTTGTCGACTTCCCTTCTCTCCAGGGTCCAAAATCCCAAGTGTATCAAGTCACCATAAGTCTGAAATTTTTTGTATCGTTTACATGTAGCGACATGACGCTATTCGTGCTATCTGAAGTTTCGATCGTATCAGTCTTACCCATTAGTGTCCATCCAAGCCGCGTTTCCATCAAGACTAGACCTGAGTCTAACTGTTTTATGTTTCCGGTATACAGTTTACCTGCAACATCAGCCCGTACGAGTCCATGAATCTCGTCAGGAGAGAATTGATACAATATATCTACTTTATCATTCAAATCAGACAGGAAAATTTTATATTTCTTAATTTCAATCATAAATTTACCACGAGGTATTTTTGGAACTTCGGAACAATTTTTTTCTTGATTGAACACCTCGAAATTACTTCGATAATTATCCGAAAAGTAACTAAGGCGAATCAAATATCTCTTATGTGTTTCCGTAGTTTTTATACCGCTGAACAAACTATGTCTTAAAATTTCTCAACCAATACTTTCATATTCCATTTCCATTATTGTAAAATTTGACAAGTAAGATTTACTGCTACCTGAGTCAATTAGTACCCTTATGCATTTCGTTTTATTTTTATTCCTAAGACGAACAATAAGTGTTTGCAAGAGAACTTTACGAGTAGCTGTTTTGTTAGATAGAGCGGAAACCTTACTTTTGATTTGTTTCTTGTCAACCTGGAGCGATCGGTTCGAATTTTCGGGATTACATTTTTCAGTATACATTAATTTAAAATGACCCTTACCGCAAATCTCACACGGTGGTACTTTTATTTTACAAAATCGAGAAATATGCTTTCTTACTGCTAAACATCTGAAACATGCGCCCTTTTTTAATAACATTTACTTTTTCTCTTCACAAGGCAAATTATCAGTATACTTACACTGGCTACTCATATGTGCTTTGTTACAAAATACACAAGTTTCCTTTTTAACATCCGAAGAGTTGCACAACTCTGCAAGCTGTCGGAAGTAACTCTTTCCCGTCGTGCTGACGCGGGTGAAATAATTTTGTTTTCGATTTCGGTTTCACGGTTAAATCGGTCCGTACTTGCTAGACGCACTTACTCTTCGCTTTCAATCTCGTGACATAAAAATTTCATCGGGTTGTCTAAATTATCAACGGTTTCTTCTTTAGATGTTAGGGACATGGAATTCAAATTTCCTTTCCCAAACTCTCAATATGTCGACAGGCAAACAGGATTCAATCAACGGATACAATATTCAAGAATAATTTGCGCTAAAATATTTAAAGACCTTAAATAAGTTTCAATCTTATCGTAAAGTTTAAAAAGAGGCATTTTAGGGCCTTTACCGATTTGCGTTATTCATCATCAATGAAAGAACTTCTCTAATATACACTTCGATTAACATGTCAGTTCGGCCAAATCTCGCCTTTAAACATTGTATTACGTTTTCATAATTATCAGCTGTGGCCAGAAATGATTCAACAAGTTCTCGCGCTCTTGAACCCTTTAATGTAGCTTGTAATAAATACTGATATTTATCCTCCTTCGCGATTTCATTATCGTTGTGTATCTTCTTAAATTGTGCCCAAAATGACAACCATTCTTTGATATCACCGCTGAACAACTTATATTCTCTTTTAGAAAGTTTAAACTTCCGTTTCGATGAATCGTTAACTGTTTGAGAATTAGATAGATTTGTATCAATAACAGAAGAGTTTTGCTTTGACAAGTGAATCCGTTTTTTCTCTCTAAATTCCACAGCAGAATTCTTTCGCGATATTCTTCTGTAGTTTGAATCTCTTCGTCAAATTCTTCTGGTTTCAAAGTACTTTCGATTTCAGAATCAGCTATCTGAAGGGTTTCAAATTTATCGTTCAAGAGTTCTAAGTCTTCTTCTAACAAATTTATATCAACAGAAGACTTACCTAGTTCAAATTAAATTTTCTTAAGAATTCTGGTAATGGATGTTCTCAAACCACCTCTCTTTTTCTTAAGTTTAATAATGTCTACTGACATGTTTACTGAATCAAACATATAACTTATAAAACCTTAAAGAATTCAATAAGTGCCTTTCAAATTCAAAATACATAAATTCATTAATTCATCATTTCGCTTTCATCCCGGCAGGGATGCCAAATTAATATTGCATCAGTTCAATAGACAATATTAATCAATGTGTAAAGCATTCCAACAGTAGGTAAGCAAAATAGCACTTGCCTGAATCACCGAGTTCTTCATTCAGGTACATCCAAAAAATACGCACAGGTTTATCATTTTAAAACTTCTAGAAACTAGAAGTAATCTGTCGAAAAAATCTGTACGCAAGTTATAAAAGAGAGGTTGTTACAAGAGATCAAAACTACGCATCCATTTCCTAAGGCATTCATAAAAAACTAAGCTAAAAATAGAACACTGATTACATCATAAATCGTTGAGCGCGCGGCAAAACTTACGTAATCAGCTCCAATCGTTATGCGCGCGCATAGGCTGAAGTATCACGTAACCCAACACCCACTGCTTGTCGGAAAAATTATCAAAGCTCAAAATTTAAATAAAAATTTCTTTCGAACATTTAGCTCTTTCTTGACATCATAAGGTTTAAAAAATTGTAAATCGAACTATCAGGTGTAAGAGTTGTTCAAAAGAAAACATTAAGCTAAATGCCTAACAGAGTTGTTATCAATAGAGGCCACATGTCGCAAAATATTTGATGGAAAGTTGTTTTATGCATTTTATTGGAGAAATGTTTTGTCTCTCTTTGCTTTACCCGCCAGTCGAAATGATACCTTTCTGACCTAAATAACTTTAAAGATGTGTTAGTAATTTACGTTAAATGTTACAATATATTTATAATTATTAGTGTTTCAATAGCCTTTTTTTCCATTCTGAAATTGCTAAGCAGGTGAATTAACACAACTTGTTTAATTGAGTTTGATTTTTTATTATTTAGGTTTATGATGGAAATAGTGACGCAGCTCCTGTTTTGGGTCGTTTTTGTGCTTCAACCCTTCCAAGTAAAATCCTGGCAAATAGTAACAATCTTTACATTAAGTTTCAAAGTAGTGACGCAAATAATGGTCGTACTGGATTCAAAGTTAAATACGAAACAAGTAAGCTTTAATTTTTGGAAATACAATTCAATTCGAGAAATTTCATTATAGGTATCTTTGATTTTTACTAAGCCCTTAAGTATAGATATCTTTAGAGTATCCGAGATATTTACAGTCCAAAATTCTCTTGGATCAAGAAGAGGAAATTCTAGATTTTTAATACAATATCTCGTGTTCTATAAACAAATAATCTGAGTGTTTTAGGAATTTAACATTTGATGCTCCTAATTCATACAAGCTAAAATCAGACGTTCAGTGAAACATAAAAATCAAGTAATCTTGCGTTCTTGAATAAAATAATCTCGTTAATCAAGTAATCTTGCGTTCTCGAATAAAATAATCTCGTTAATCAAGTAATCTTGCGTTCTTGAATAAAATAATCTCGTTAATCAAGTAATCTTGCTTTTTTGAGTAAAATAATCTCGTTAATCAAGTAATCTTGCATTCTTCAGTAAAATAATCTCGTTAATCATGTAATCTTGCATTCTTGAATAAAAAATAATCTCGTTAATCAAGTAATCTTGCGTTCTCGAATAAAATAATCTCGTTAATCAAATAATCTTGCGTTCTGGAATAAAATAATCTCGTTAATCAAGTAATCTTGCGTTCTTGAATAAAATAATCTCGTTAATCAAATAATCTTGCGTTCTGGAATAAAAAAATCTCGTTAATCAAGTAATCTTGCGTTCTTGAATAAAATAATCTCGTTAATCAAGTAATCTTGCGTTCTTGAATAAAATAATCTCGTTAATCAAGTAAGCTTGCGTTCTTGAATAAAATAATCTCATTAATCAAGTAATCTTGCGTTCTTGAATAAAATAATCTCGTTAATCAAGTAATCTTGCGTTCTTGAATTAAATAATCTCGTTAATCAAGTAAGCTTGCGTTCTTGAATAAAATAATCTCATTAATCGAGTAATCTTGTATTCTTTAGTAAAATATTCTCGTTGATCATGTAATCTTGCATTCTCGAATAAAATAATATAGTTAATCAAGTAATCTTGCATTCTTGAGTCAAATAATCTTGTATTATTGAAGGAAATAATCTCTTTAATCAAGTAATCTTGCAGTCTTTAATCGAATAATCTTGCTAATCAAATAATGCTGCATTCTAAAGTCAGATAATCTCGTTAATTAAGTTATAAGGTATTTCTCTCACTTCCCTAGCGTGCCTTTGTGGTGTAACGGTAGCGGGCTGGGTCGGTATTCCAGAGGTCCCGACGAAGGTCGATTCCCGGCGAAGGCGGTTGCATATTTTTCATCTTTTCTGCTTCCAGTTAACTCTACAAGTGGCGCCCGAACTAAAAGGGTTGTGGATGATGATTCTCCTCACCCAGGATTTGGCGACTAGGTTCCCTAAAACCCTAGTCGCCCTTTAAAAAGGGGAGTATATAAGATGTTTCTCCCACTTCCCTAGCGTGCCTTCGTGGTGTAACGGTAGCATGCTGGGCCGGTATTCCAGAGGTCCGTGGTTCGATTTCCGGCGAAGGCGGTTGCATATTTTTCATCTTTTCTGCTTCCAATTAACCTAATGTTGCTACAAAGTAAGCTTGCATTCTTCAGTGAAATAATCTCTTTGATCAAATAATGTTTTATCAAGCAATCTAGTTTTTATACAGAACGCATGATTTCAGGTTGTAAAGCATTTCTTCCGCCTTCCTAGCATGCCTTCGTGGTGTAGTGGTCATCACGCTCGGCGCTTATTCGAGAGGTCCATGGTTCGAGTCCTGGCGAAGGCACTGCTCATTTTTTCATCTCGGCTTCGAAATATCCTGATGTCTCTACAGTGTCGCCCGAATTAAAAAAGGTGGTGGATGATGATTCTCCACCGGGATTTGGCGAATGAGTCTCCTAATCCTCAGTCGCCCGTTAAAAGAGGGAGTATATAAGGTATTTCTCCCGATTTCTTATCATGCCTTGGTGGTTTAATAATTAGCATGCTCGGGAGGTCCGTGGTTCGAGTCCCGGCGTAGGCATTTCTAATATTTTCATCTTTTCTGCTTCGAAATAACCAAATGTCTGTACAAGTTAATGGACGATTACTAATGATTTGAGTAGAATATTTATTGAAGCTGAGATATTGGAGTTTCGCCCTTTTGAAAACTACTCGAGATTCAAAACCTCAATGCACATTTTTTTCTATTTAAATTCCTAGAATATTCATATGAAAAATCTAGTACCCTTTTTATCTCAAAGCTTTGGAAGGAACAAGCCACTTAAATGCAGTATATATAGAGGATTTTCGACGATTTTCATTGCATATACGCAAATACAATTACCTAAAAATTTCGTGGTTTAAATGTTCTGTTTGATAACTGTTATTCTTCACTATCCTTTTACACCGTAATTTCCAAGCATAGTACAAAGATACCGTTAATACCGATACCTTTGGCACTAGCGGAAGAGGTATTTTATCGTATTCCTCTTGGACAGCTTTTCAAAAGTTCAAGGAGGGTTGCAGGCCGATTGTTTGGATAAACCGCTTCTTAAAATACTAATCCATGGGTTACTAATCCATCCAGACTAAAATCCATCAGGAGATTTAGAAAGGATATGAGTGGCCTTGATACTTGTTTTTCTTCTTCCATTTTTTCCAAGAAATTAACAGTGAATTTTGAACTACTGCTGCTTGTTTTGTCCTGATGCAGTTCTACTGGTTGGTGGCACTGTGGGTAAAGAGGTGGTCTTTCATATTTGAAAACTGAATAAGAAATGCGTTCGTGATGATATGTGGAGTTGATCTGACAATATTTTCTCCAATCTTTTTATTTTTAATTTGCGTTAAAATGAAGAAACCAGCAGCAGTATAAATCAATTTGAAAAGCTTTTAGATTCCTTGATCCATGTTTTAGTATTTATTTCTTCCCTTTCAAGATAAGAAATCGATATCTTTTAATTGCAGTCCTTTAAACACACCGAGGATTCATCTGTTGTTTTATTATCTACAGTATTGTTATCTACAGTATTGTTATCTACAATATTTTTTTATTTTTGTCCAGATAGATGTTTCTCATAAAGAATTGTGCAGCGCGTTTTGCGTTCATCCAAATGCCATGAAGGAAGACGATGCACATTATGGTTTTTGGTCTTTTCAAGATTCAAATCAGCCTTAATCACTTTTTAACATTTTAATGATTTTTCAACAGTCCTTTGATTTAGTGGGTTTTCTTTTAACATTAAAGCTCTTACCTTGTAGAGGCATTAGGTTTTCTGAAAGCAGAAGACTTAAAAATGAGCAACGCTTCCGCCGGGAATCGAACCACGGACCTCTGGAATACGCGCCCAGCGTGCAGACGAAGGCGAACTACTACACTACGCTAACAAGGCGGGAGAAATATATTATATACCCCCTTTTAAAGGGCGACTAGGGATTTAGGGGATCCAATCGCCAAATCCTGGATGTGGAGAATCATCATCCACCATCCTTTTAGTTCGGGAGCCACTATAGAGACATTAGGTACATTTTTTTAAACAGGAGAGATTAAAAAATGAGCAACGCTTTCGCCGGGAATTGAACCATAGACCTCTGGAATACGCGCCCAGTGTGCGGACCACTACACCACGAAGGCACGCTAAGAAAGCGGGAGAAATACCTTTTAACCTTTGCAACATTACAAACATTCTGTTTTTCCCTTTGATATGTATATTTCGAATAGTTTCCCCGACTGAAGACAAACTTTGACTTTTTTCCCTTTCCTGTTGACAATATTCCCTTGTGTAGTTTCGAATGCGAGTAGGAAACCAAAATTAGCTTGAAACGCAATCCCGCAATTACATTAAAAGGGACATGCTAGACCTATGGGTCAGTTCGCAAGCAGCGATAGTTACGTGTAATCCGAGATAGCCAAAGCGGAAAGCATGAGCCAAAGGTACCATTTGCACGATGGGATGAATGCGTCGGAGGGCTATCGAGATGATACTAGCTTGTGCAAAACAATTCACTGCTGAGAGAAAGCAAGATAAGCAGACGTATCATCAATAGGCTGTAGAATCGTGACCTAAAGGATCAAAATCCCTTTAAAAGACGTGGGTCTGGACGATGGAGGACTGCCACAACGGCAGACGATCGATTCTTGTAGCTATGTGCAAGACACCGTAGATCACTAACAGCTCGAGAGCTGATGTCATGTATCTGCAGTATATAGTAAGATCCATATTTATCCAACTGTGTCGCATCGACTGCATGAAGGTGTAAACTACAGCCGAAGACTTGTGGCTTGTGTTCTTTTTTATGTACCAATCGTATGTCGGGTACAGCCGAAAACATCGCGGACGAAAACAACGCAAGGCGAAAACGTCGTGTGCAAAACATCGTGAGAGAAAAGAAAGCAAAGAGAAAACATCACATTTCTAAAACATCGTGGTACAAAGTGTCGTCATCGAAAATAAAGCGGTTCAAAAACTTCGCAGTTTAAAAACATCGTAGTCGAAAATATCAAGGAAAAAGTAAAGCACCTACAAATCATCGCATGACGAAAACATCGCACACATGCGTTTTTTAGGTTTTAAAAGTTGTAAATACATATTCGCAGAAAGATTTAGAAGCGCAACAAATGTTCACGACACTTTAAACGGAAACAAAACAAGATATGATTTTCACGAAAACAATATCAGATTGACAAATGTGAAAGAAAGTAATACGATAATTAAGAGAGGTAATATAGAGGTAACCTCTTTTTATACAGGTAACCTCATGCAGTTATTTATATTCCTTTTTCTAAATATTTTTAGGCTATATTTTTCATGAAAAATTACGAGTAAAACTTTATAAGAAATATTCATTTATTAATAACCTTTGTTAATTAACTATGTAAATTTAAAATTCTAACAATAAGTTCCATTAATGCTCTACTTATTTTCAACTCCTGCGCTCCCAAATCATTATGCAAAAATGCATTTACAACTTTTAAAACCTGAAAACCGCATGTGTGCTATATTATCCTCATGCGATGATTTGTAGGCACTTTATTTTTTACAACGATATTTTCGACGATGATGCTTTTACACTGCGAAGTTCTTAAACCCCTTTTTTGATGACGATATTTTGTACCACATTGTTTTAGAACTGCGATATTTTCTTTTTGCTTTCTTTTCTCTCACGGTGTTTTATACCACGACGTTTTCGCTTTGCGTTGCTTTCTCCGCAACGTTTTCGTCCGCCGCGACTTTTCGGCGGTTACCCGCATGTCAGAGCGCCGTTTGGTTGGTCTCATAAGCATCGAAGTTGGACATTAAGGCAGCAGAGCCACGTACGCTTTGCAAATAAGTCTTTATTTAACATCTAGAACGATTCCCGAACGAAAATGATATGGCGAGAACCAGGAACACGCTATCGGGCGCCAAAGATTGTCGAAAGTGACCATTACAAGGCAGAAGTCTTATTTGTATGGATTGGGATAGCAACGAACGGCCACGCCGACCTCTGTGTGATTCCTGGTGGTTCCGTCACAGCCATCTGATATCCCAATGAAATTCTGCGACCTCTTTTGCTTTCTTTCATCGCTGCAATGGGCACTGACGCAATATGTATGTAATATGACGCGCGGACAATAACGCCTGCCCGAATAGAGCTCGAGAGTGAGCTCAAGTTATTTAGAGAGTGAAACCATTCCACATCTACCATGGCCTACTAGATCACCGGAGCTGAATACTATACAGCAGTATTGGCGAACCTTTTGGGGGCCGCGTGCCCAAAACCTCTTTTTTGGGGGAAGGGCGTGCCCAAAACCTCTTTGATTAAATCCCGATTGGAGAGAGGTTTACCATGTTTTGCAAGGCACAGTGAAATTTAAGACTGGCCGTTGTTAGACGGTTTGTTTCAGAAAGATAATTTCAAAAACCAATTTTCTGGTAATTATAATTCCTCAATTTTCCTTCAATAAACAACTTCCGTTCAGATTCATCAAGTTCGGCAACAATCTTGTGATTGGTATTAAAGATTGTTCAAGACCGGGACAGCAGTAATCGTTAACCCAGATATCTCTTTCCTAAACTGGCTTTATTGGGCTTATTTTGGCTGAGCCGTATGTGAAGAAGCTTGGTTTCCCTACTAAACTTTCGTGTTTTGCTATATTATCAAATCGCATGCTTTTACATTATATTTGTACATTCTGTTAAGATATTAAATTAGAATTATTCATACGCTACCTCAGTTTGCTTAGATCTGAAAACTGGAATCTATTTAACAACGAAAGTATTAAAATTCAGCTTCAGTCATCGGCATATTTTAGTCGCGTGTCGGCTGATGAGTCTCTGCGTGCCGAACATGGCACGCGTGCCATAGGTTCGCTATCCCTGCTATAGAGCGTGTGTAGGATATGTTGGGAGGAACAATAGTAGGACCCAGTGTATCACAAGGCACCCTCCAAGAGCTCCGACATTCATTGTTACAGGCATAGGCGGTACTGACACAACAAACGATCGGTGACACCCCTGCCAGCTTGCCTTGCCGTTGTTAAGCATCCATTTCAGCTCAAGGTTATCATACCCGTTAGCGTAATGGCAAACCGCACATTGAGTTGATCAGCGTTAAAGAATTTCGCTTACTGCGCATGCTCAATGGTGTATCGTTGGCTTGGGAGGAAATACTGGCGACTAAGGCATATAGGCAACCCTACACAAGCCTTTTAAGTCATGTTGGTTTTACCGTTTACAGTTGAAATACTACGGAATTGTGTGCTTATTGCATGTGCTTCTGTTTCATTTCATTTTGCTTTATTTTCTTTCTAAACATTACATTTAATATCAGTTATTTGACTTTAATTCAGTAATTTAAACTGGATTTATTCCTTAATTTGTTAAAGTACACAGGAATGGAACATATGGTAAATACTCAGTTGCTTTTATTCTTCAGAAGTATAACCAATAAGCATTCAGCTAATTTATCTTGTAATTTTTCCTGTTCTGTAATCCATCTTAAACTAAAATTTACGTAGTTTACAATCCGCAGTTAAACTGTATGTAATGAAGCAACTTACAACCTATCAAGTCTTAAAAACCCAAACTGTTTACGCCCAGATAACACAATATTAACCATATACCGTATTTATCTTCTTTTATAACTGCAGCGACGTTGTAATTACACGAAATTCTATTCTGGGCATGCGCAGTAAGCGAAATTCGTTTAACATTGGTCAACTCAATGTGCGGTTTGCCATTACGCTATCCGTTATTAGGCGTGATGTTTCTTCCCACGCATTTGGTCTTTCGTAATGTAATGGTCGTAATAGATGTGGTTGTACGTCTCTGCTTTATTGTTGGCTTTGTAGTAAGGCATCACCAACCTCTTAGATCAATTTCATGTATATTCATCGAATAGTTTTTATTTTATTCTGTGTTTTGCCTTTGTTTCTTTTTTATTCTTTTTGAGCAGGGGTGTATTTCTTTATGAGATGATATGATTTCTTTATGAAAATGATATCTTGTGGCTAATTTCTGAATGAATTTAAAGTTTAATATTTTCTAACCCTAAACACTTCTAGGTTTTTAAGATTTTTAACGTTTCATGACCGTTAAATATTTTCTTTTCTTCCAGTTTGCGGTGGAATATATACTGATCTGACAGGAGTGTTATCCTCGCCTAACTACCCCGAAACGTACCCCGAACGCTGTCTTTGCATCTATGAGATTCGCTTGCCACCAGGATACGTCGTCAATGTCACATTTCATAGCATGTTTATTAGATGGAGCTGGAAATGCGAATCTGATTATTTAGACGTATGTGACCTGATTTAAACATCTTCTTTTTAAGTTATCTTTTTATTTTGTGACTAACATACTACTCGTTGAGGAATCGACGCATTGCTTGAGAAAGTAAAGAACTGAAAGCACATTTCGAACTCAGAAACATGATTTAGAAAACGAAACTTTAGGTTTAAAATTTATACTAATACCTTACTTAATTTAATTAACCGTGGTAATGTCGCAACTGGCAATCCACCAAATTTCGTTAGTTAGTCTTGGGGTGGCGCTGTGATCACGTACGATGGAGGAAGGATCTTAGAAGAGCTCCTAAATTTTCAAACAGTTTTTTCAGAAAATGCTCATCTATTTAAGAAAAAGTTTCGCGAATATCCTCTACATTGTCTCGTTCTCTAAACCGAAAGATTTCCTGCACCTAAAGGTATTATCTTCCTTGTAATCTTTAACAATACCAAGACGGAACATTCAGATAAGTAGAACTTCTTTTCTCTAAGCCAAATCAAATATCTGTCACTAAAGTACCTTTAAATTCATTTATTTATTATGATCATTATTATTATGCTCATTTTAATATGTTCTGGCATTGAATACTTAATAATTGCTTTAAATCATGTGGTTCCTTTTTTTTTTTTTTTTTTTTTTTTTTTGTTACCATCTCGTAGGGACGCTATCCTTATCAGTAGTGTAGTCTGTTAGCGCTACCCATTGGGGCCCCTTTGAGGAATTTCTTGAGAGGGAAAAAACACGATCTTGGGCCTCAATGAATGTATAGATTTGTAGTTTTTGCTCCTTTAATCTATATTTCCTATGTAATTAAATTAAAAGCATATATTAATACAGTGTGCTTCAAATTGATAAAATAGTACACATATAATAAATTATAACCATTAACTTAATAAATAAATAAAATGCTTTTTTTAATAAAAGTTTATTAATATTAAAATAAAAAACTCTGTATTTTATTACTTTTGGGCCTTTTATTTTTTACTTTATTTTGTCCCATCTTTTCTTCCTGGCCTTTCGAACTCGTATAAAATATACGAAGTTCCTTTTTACTCTCCTCTGAAATTACCCCCCCTTTCTATATACCTTTCCTTAGCACCTATGCTTGATTTTTCGCCCATCGGTGCAGAAAGACTTAGCGGGTGGCAAAAGATCTGTTTTTTTTTTGTTTTTTTTTTTTTTTTTTTTTTTTTTTTTTTTTTTTTTTTTTTTTTGTTTTTTTTTTTTTTTTTTTTTTTTTTTTTTTTTTTTTTTTTTTTGGGGTGGGGGGGGGGGGGGGGGGGGGGGGGGGGGGGGGGGGGGGGGGGGGGGGGGGTCTGCGGTACATAACAAAAGACATCTGTCTACTTTTTCTGTCTGTCTGTTAGTTAGTTGATTAGTTTCATAACAGATGGCGACACCTCTTTTAACGTCATTTCATCGCACAGTTCGGTGTGCCGTCAGCCAATGAGATAGCGAGATCCTCAGTGAGTGCGAAGACTCGTTATTTCATTGCACGCTGAAAAATAAGAGGTTGTGTAACTACAACGAAAATTAACATTTTAAGGAAAGAAGTTCTAAAAGGGGATAAAACAATTTAAAAATCAAGCGCTAAAGCTGCTTAAGGTTTAATTTATAAAAAGTTAAAATGTATAAATTGGAAGAAATAGATTATCGAATCGTGGAAAAATTCTAAAAAATTGATTGAAAGTACCTTTAAATCTTACAAGTAAGATGCAAATTGAAAAAAATTAATTTTTAAAAATATTTTTGAGAAATTTAATAAATTATCAGTTAAAATTTTTTAAAATTTTTTTCAGAAGTAAAAATTTAAATAGTATTCATATTTGAATGCTTAAAATTGACCTATCAAAGGGTAATAGTTTAAAACGTTAAAATGTGAACAATTAAGGAGTAGTGAATTCGTGTACATTAATTGTTCAGATTTTCAAGATTTAAATATCTATATTTTATTATTATAATTGTGTTTCTGAATAAAGAGTACATGAAAACACCACACCGTAATGGTGGATGATGATTCATTTAAATACTTAAAATACTAAAATATTCATTTTTACTTCCTTGTATGAAGTAAAAAGGAAGTATTGTAATCGCGAACAATTTCGGGTCATATTTCAACGAAAATATCGATTTTGACAGCTATCCAATGCAATTTAATGATATTTTTGCGTGACATCTGCAAATAAAGACAGAATAAAGGACTCTTTTACCCCCAAAAAATTATAAACCTGATTTAAAATGAACTCTGCAGAGAATATTTCGTGGTCTAGACCGTAAAACCTCATTATTTTCGGCCACGATATTTTGTACCACAATGTTTTAGAACTGCGATGTTTTGCTTTTGCTTTACCACGAAGTTTTTGCCTTGCATTGTTTTCGGAGGACACCGTACTTGATTTAACGCCCCTCGTACTTTATATCTGTATTTATATACTTTTAACACACAGGCATAATTGCTTGGACATATTTCAATGTGCACGTATATATACTTTCTTACAGGCAAGACGAAAATATTCTAGACCGTATATATACGGACTTGCAGGTTAGAAGAACCAGGTTTCTTTTCGTGTGGTTGAATTGCATTATTTAATCTCGAGTAATGCATTCTCATTTAGTTTATTTAATAATGTTATAAGCAGAGGAATTACTTTCGAATTTTTATTTAAGGAGGTAAACAAAACAAAACTTCAAGTATTTATTTTTCTCTAATTAGTACACAATCTTTATGTATAGAAATTTTCAATTTTTTCCTTAAAATGGAATATTCTTTCATTGCTTTTCATCATTGTCTTTAAGATGCTGAATCAGATGAGGATTTTTATTCTCGTCCAAATGCGTAAATGTAAAATTCTTTTAACGCATTAAATATTGTTAATACTTGTTATATTATGATGTAGAATACATTTCTCTCAGTCTTTACATTTATTTAAGGGGAGTCATCACCTTTACACATTCAAAAAAAATCAAATTTTATGTTTTTACATTTTTAGAAGTAGACATTTTTGAGTCTCTTAAAACAAACAGCGTTAAGATATTCGAATTAGAACCTTAAAAATTATGAAATAAAGAAAACGATATTGAGGTAAATATTGCCAGTTTGCGCATTTAAATCCTCACCCGACGTTTGTTTATATTAGTACACGCAGCTGCTTTACGAATGTTCACTCGTAGATTGCTTTAATTTTTACTGTTAACATCATGTATATTGGTAAAATTGAATGTGTCGGACAAATTCAGAAAAGAATGGACGATTACGAAAGCGAAAGCTGGAAATGAAGGGGAAGAAACTTAGTGACAATAAAACTCCCAGTGGAAAAGGTCGCCTTACGCATGATAATATAACCCAATTGGCAATTTATTATGGAAATGCTACTAGAAAACATTGCAATTCTGTAAAAGATATGCAAAAGGCAGTGTGGGCAATATTTTACCACAAACGTTCAACCGACGCGAACCTACTCACAATTTTTGCCCAACAGGGGACGATTCGTGATGTACATATCAAAGAGCGAGTGAGTGAAAATATGAAATCATACAAACATAAAAATTCAATTCCACTACCTGTAATGGATGCTACCAAAGATATATATAAAGATCTTAACGTGCGATAGGAGGACATATACAGAATTCATATGAATCGTTGAATGCTTTGATTTGGAAATTGTGTCCTAAAAATTCCGGGTGTGGTTATAATATTGTTAAAACAGCAGTGAATGAGGCAGTTATTTATAACGATGATCAAGCTGCGCGATTGCATATTATGAATGAACTTGGATACCGAATTGGTGACAACGCAATCATGTTTACAGCAGACACTGATCAACGTCGTGTTTAGTCAGCCGAAATAAAGTTAGAGACGTCTACAATAGATGCTCGCAGGGTCAAATTTGTTGCAGTAACAGCTACTGAAGAACAAGAAAGTATGGTGCATGCGGCTGGGCAGTTTTAAACTGTTTTAGTATTATTTGAGAGAATATATATTAACAATTTTTAAACTTTAAAACTATTTTTCTCAAAATGGTGATTTTCATACTTCCGCGCACTCTTTAAAAAAAATCTATCATAGCTATTGATTTAAAAATTTCAGGGTACTTACATGATGATATTGCTGAAACAAATGCACCTACCGTTTTCATTGAAAAATTATTTTTTAAGTATTTATATAATTAAAAACAATTAATGCTTTTTCTGTTTTCTAACATTTTATTGTAATCGTGTTAATGTTCTTATATATTTTAAAATTTAAATAGGTGAAGAATCATACCTAATAATATTTCAATACAAAATTATAAAAATTTATTACTGTAACTAAATTTGTATTACTGTCAGTTTGCGCGCAGTGCTTCAGTACAAATTTTAAATTTTCTGAAAATACAGTTAGATTTTTTCCTTTATAAAACAAATACTTATACACTATTAAGTAAAATAAATCAAAAAACATAATCATTTATGTATAGAGATGACACACTGAAAATTTCATATATGGATGACCAGAAGAATTTGACTTATTAAAACTCGAAAATCAGCTAAAACTCTCAATTTTTGTGTTGAGCAAAAGTGATGACTCCCCTTAAATCTGCAGTCAAAATTGTTGAAATTGGTTCCGAATTATTTAGCATGACAACACATTTTTCATACGCATCTAATTTCATTAGATCCATGATGGAGACTCGTCAAATGCACCTCGTCTCGCTCATCTGTGTGGTAATGAAAAGCAAGACATCATTTCCTCATATAACGTTATGTGGATGAAATTCAAAGCGAATAGTCCACGCCCACCGTTGCGCGGATTTTATATTGTCTACGAAGGCATGGAAATGGGTAAGTAGTAAATATTACTGACCTCTTAATATTCCCCTGTTTAAAAAATAAAATTTGGTATTGAGGTTCAAACTTCAGAGGTGTTATGTCGCGAATTTCAATTACTAACATGTGTTTTAAGTTATTATTATTCTAATATTTTTATTTGTATTCATGTGTATTTTAATCTGGAAAAAAAGTATTCTTAGGCTCTTAAGGTGTTGTTTAACTTGTTGTTCTTGAGTAGGAATTGTAACATAGGCGAGAGACGGTTGCGAGGACACACATCTGGTTTATGGCCTTTTCACTAACAATGTCGCCCTTTTAACTCTTTGCGTGGAAAACGGAAATCGCTTTGTTAAAGTTCGCAGTTTTCTTACTTCAAGACAGTGAGGGTGGCTGGTAATTGGATACTCGTAAAAGCTAAATTCGCTTGTTGGTTGGGGGAGTCTATTTTTTTTTCTCACGTTATGTGAGTGCAGATGTTTTTCGGATTGCATTGTCAGATTTTCTGGTGTTTGATTCGTCATGGGTGTGTCATTTTTTCAATTTAGATAACTTAAAATTCCGGGATTGGTAAGATATAATTTTATGATTTTTTTGAAAGCCTATGAACTCACAGAGGCGGAGAAACCGAGATTTCTTGGGTGCTTGCACCAGGCTAGAGTTCATTCTGATTCTGTTTCCTGATTCTTTCAAGCTAAGAGTAAGAAGAGGAGTGGGGGCTTGACCCTTTGCGGGTCTTGCTCTCGCGGGCGCCGGCTATTGCGTCAGATTTGGAGACATTTGAGTTGCGAAGATGTAAGGCAGTAAAAGAAGAAGTTCGGTGCGGCTTTACCTTCTACGGGGGGCTTGCGACTCGGTCTGAGGCGAGGTTTCTCGCCGCTTTCCCGCTGATGAGAATTTGTTCGCACGGAGAAAATGCTCTACGCACAATTTGATTTTACCGTTTCATCGTGTATTTAGTGATCTTTGAATTGTCATGTTAGAGGCTTTCCAGTTAGAATTGTTCGTCATAGACAGGAGAGATTGGTACACCTAAGAAGTTTGTGCCGAAAGTGCTCTACGAAAAATTTAATTTTCCGTTTCATCGTGTATTTTGTGATCTTTAAATTTTGTGCTTTTCAGTTAAAGTGCTAGACAGCTAAGACGCTTGTGCCGAAAGTGTTCCCAAAATTTAGTTTCGCCGCTTCTTCGTGTATTTTGGAGAACTTGAAAAGTCATGTTTGAGACATTCCAGTTGAAGAAATTTGTCATGAGATACAGATTGTTCCAGAAGGAGGTATCATGCTTCCCTTGTTCCTGAGATCAATGGGACGCTTCTGAAAGTGTTTTGACAGAAAAAAGATTGGACACTAAAGATCTTTTTCTTTCGGAAATTGTCTCTCACTTAATGGACATATTTAAAGGCGGTTCCTGAATCAATGGACGCTTCTAAAAGTGTTTTGAAAAAAAAAAAAAAAAAAAAAAAATTGTTTTAGCTCATTTCCAAGTGGATTGGACACTAAAGATTCCTTCAATCCAGAAAAACTGTCTTCCATCTGTGAGTGATTTTTCAAAATTTGTCTACCTCTCTACCTTTTCAAATTACTTAAACGGAAATTATTTATTTTATATATGTAAACTACTAAATGATTAGAATATTTTGAATAATGACTAATTAATTTAAAGTCTGTAAAGAAAGGTTTTTTAAAGATTTAGTTTTACCGGCTTAATTAGTGAGCTATTGAACGTCAAAAAATAGTAAACTTACAAATTAATATGAGTATGTTAATTTTGGAATGATATATGTGTTATTTTCCATCTTAAGGTATATTAATTTTTGTAAGCTGTAAATGCGTGTGACATTATGTGTTACTTTACAGAGTAAAAATATGCTGTAGGATACTGATCAGTTATCCATTATTTAATTATATAATATATTCAAGAATTTAATAAATGTGTGTTTAAAATTTAATTGCATTTGTGTATTTATGTAGTGTATTTTACTGTGGTCTGTCATGTCCCTCCATTTGTTTGAGCCGGGAGGCTTTTAAGAAACATGGAGTTTAATTGAATTTGGAGTTATTGATATTTCCTTTTACATAGGTTACTCACAACGCAAACCTAAAAGTAAGTTGTACTGTACTACCACTATACGATTGATTGATTGATTGATAGATATGATATACGATTGATTGATTGATAGATATGATATACGATTGATTGATAGATTTACTATACGAATGTTTATAAGAATGTCGATATGATATTTGATATATTATGAATTAGATTTTGAATGTTTTGAATTATTTTTATTTTATTTATTTATTTATTTATTTATTTATTTATTTTTTTGTAAATTCATCCGGCACCACAGTCAGCAAAGTTATAAGTTAAAGTTATAAGGGCATGGGGTATTAAAAGGCCAAAACATAAATATTTAGATATAACATTGTGGTGCCGTGACCAGGATAAAAATTTTCTATATAACAGAGGCTATTCAAATCATTTTAGACCATTTTGCTCTGCTATAAAACAAATCGTCTTCTTGGAAATTCTTTTAACTGCAGCTATATTTTTGAAAGTCTTAAGTTATCGTCTGCAACTTGACAGTTCGGTTTTCATGCAAAATGACGCTTTTTTAAAAAACAATGGACGGAAGGTTATGTTTATACTCTTTTCGAAGAAAATTATTCGTATTTAGTTATTAAAAAACGCTGCAAAAACCATGGACTTCCGATATCTACGATAGTTAATATTGTTAATAAAAAAGGAAAAATATTTCAAATTTGTCTTTAAGTGGAAAAATTGTTCCAAGTACATATCAAAGGCAAAAACAAAAAGTTTCGAACGTTGCATAGGTCTTTAATTTTATGTCAAATGGCAGTCGCAAAATGATTAAAATGCTCAGTGTCAACTGTAAATAAAGCGATTAATGCTGATTAGAATCTTAAAAAGGTGGAGCACCATAATGTGCGCCCTCTTTCTCCACGACATATCGCCGAATCCAGAACGCGCTGAAGAATTCTTTAGGAGAAACATTTGCCTGGACAAAAATGGAAAAATGTTGTCACAATAGATGAATCTCAGACGAATTTAAACGAGTGCAATAAAAGGAGCTTTATTTATTACCATGAAAGACGAGAAATAAATCTTAAAACGTGGTTCAAGGAATCTATAGAAAGGTTTTTCAAATGGATTTATGATTGTTACTCGTTTTTCATATAACTGCAAGTTAAAATGAAAGATAGCGGACAAAAATTTTAATATCAAATTCACATACTATCAGGAACATATTTTATACCCAGTTTTCAAAATGAAATACCTTTTCTTTACCCACAGTGCCATCAACCAGTAGAACCGCTTCAAGACAAAACAAGGAGCTGCACGTCAAGATCCACTACAAATTTCCTGGAAAAAAAAATGGGAAAAGAAACGTGTATCAAGGTCCATACCCTTCACTCATATCTCTACTAAATCTCCTGATTCACGGATTTGTGTGCTTTTGGACTTTTAGAAAGCGAATTGTCCAAACGTCCACCTACAGCCCTCTTTGGACTTCGGAAAGCTGTTCAAGAGGAATGCGATAAAATACCTCTTTCGGTACCATGAAAGGCTTTATTGGCTTGGAAATTACGATGTAAAAATATAGTGAAGAATAAGGATTTCCAAATAAACAGAAAGATTTTAGGTAAAATATTTTTACAATGTCAAAAAAGCGTGCGTCTGGCCTCTGCATAAAAGCTAATCTTCACTACGTGTTAAATTTCATTGACTGAAATTTATGCCTTACTTTGGCCAGTTGCCTTTAGTGTGACCGAAATGACGTAAAATAGTACTTGTAAATAACGGATGGAATTTCTCAATCTACCATAAACTCATTTTGAACAGATTATACAAAATCTTATGTTATGTCTGTAGAGCAGGATGCGTTTTCTGAATAGCTTGATGTTTATGTAGTCGTCATTTTCTTAGCTTATCGTAGAAATTCTCGACGAGGAAATAAAATCTTTCGGAGTCAAATTTGACCTTACAGTACATCTATTTATACGAACGATGTAAATGACATAATTCAATATCATTTGCATTGCTTCAGATATGTAAATGAAACAGTAATGTATTTTTGCGTAAACTTCATGTATTTTTATAGATAAAAGCCCAGTAACTTATATGAAATTGCAAAAATTCTCTTCCTTTTACATATAGTCACTCATCGGATTGCTTAAAACCACATTATGTAAAGAAATAAACTTCTGTGCTAGATTATTTGCGGATTATAATTGATACAATTATAGATTTTCAGTAGCTGAAGAAGGTCTAAAAAGAAAGATTAATAAACTCACTGTGAGCAGTTTATATGACATCAACTATACTCAAAATAAATCGTGGTGCTCTTTAAGTGTGAACTAACGAAGCTAGTATAAGTATGTACTGCCGTTATTTGTATACTATTGAGTGAAGGCCAATGAGACAGCCATTTTGTTATCACACCCTGCATTTATTTGTTATCAGTCGTTATAAGCATTGGCCAATACTAAAGCCGGAAGTGGTGGTCATTGAATTAAGGAGGCACCTAATAGGTGGGCCGCCATTGCCTCTTATGAAGGGACAGACAATTTACCCCCATGCCTTATCCGGAACTCGAATCCGGGCCCTTCGATGCCACAGTCAATGCCTTCATTATTTTTGAAAGAGATCAGTGATTAGTTGTATTTGTTAAGTTAGAGATCAGTGATTAGTTGTATTTGTCACACTGGATCTGAAAGAGGTTGATTTTGGTTTGGTTTAATTGTTGATGGCAAAGCATTCGGTGGCTATCTGCCTAAGAGGAGGAATGCTTTTCCGGAGGACGTTCTAAAGGAAACTAGCTCGTATATACGTCTCGCATGGGGAAGACCACAAAAACGCACATACAGCCCGCCCGTTCACCGAGACTGGAACTACCAGCGTTCAGTGGCTTTACCGCTTGGCCGCTGGTGGGCGATCTGAAAGAGGATAGTTGATAGTTGATAGTTGACGGGGGACGTGTGCACCATCCCTTTACCGTAATGGTTAATTGGCATATGCAACACGTTCACCTCTATCTTGAGCCAGATGGGCCACACAGGCGCCTCGCACCATACACCGAAACCCAGCGACCAGGCCATCCAGGTGGCAGTCCAAAAGACCAAAGAAGCATGTTCACACCAACCGCCCGGGCCTAGTATTTATTGAGTCAAGTTCAACAAATACATGGCCAGACAAGGGCTCAAAAAATAAAATAAATAGATAAAAATAAAGGGTACATTTGAAGTTTTGACAAAAGCATAAGATTACAAAGGTGCAAGTGCCAGTTTGAATAAATACTAGAATCACATAGACATAATTAGAACAAAACACATACAGATAGCGATAACAATAGAAAACCAAAGGAGTAAACACCATTACAAAACTACTACTGCTACATACTACAATACTACAAAACTACTACTAGAATACTTACAAAGATGCGAAATATCAAATCTAAACTGATTTGAGAAATTTATAAAACGTCATTCCTTTCTCATTCTTGGCATATCGCACTTTGCAGCTTTGGCGCAGCAACAAGAACAACAACAGCAAGAGATGAACCAAAATCGTTTTATGCAAAAAGCGTTCCACTAGTGTTACTATTTACATATATATCCTGGAGTTTAAACATTCTTTACTGCTATAACAACTCTGATGGTGCTGAAGTATCCACCAGTATTATGCAATGTAGTTCCCTCCCTATGCTCCATGTCGAACCATGTAGAATCCACCAGCGAATGTGAGGTAAAGCATCCGAACACTGGTAATTCTGTCCGGAATTCGAATCCTGGTTAACGTTCTGGCTGCATGCTTGGCTTTCGTAGTTTCTCATTGTATACGAGTAAGTTTACCTTAGAAAGTTCTCCATAAAGGAATCTCTTCCCTTAGTCATGTCGCTCTCGAGTGCTTTGCCATAATAAGGTAAACCAAACCATGTCGTTTTGCAGTATGGTTGGCTCTCTCGCAAGCAATCTAATGTCTATAGTGGAAAGTTCGTGGCTTTGGGCTGAGTCCTTAAGTGTTGATGGAGAAAGACTTTATGACCAGCACAGGCAACACAAAGTTGATCAAGAACACCTGAAAGAACGAAATCCAAGGGTTTTATTTATCTTCTCTTGCTTCCTCAGTAACCTCTCGAGAAAACTTCCGGCTTCATAAATTTTAAGTATCCCCATCCCTTCTCGGGGATTCGCAAGCGGGCCTAACGAAGACTTTGCTAATTACCATATGATTAAAGTATTTTTATATAACCACAGATAAAAAAACATTACTCGGAATACTTTTATGATGTGTTTCCGTACTCGAAACACTTTTATGATAAGTCTTTATGTTGTGATTCAATTTATTTTTATAATTCTTTTAAATCGTTACTCGAAACACTTGTTTATTTACTCGAGAAACTTTTATGACGTATCTTTTATGCTATAATTTTATTTATATTACAACTCTTTTAAATCATTACTCGAAACGCTATTATGATGTTTATTTACTCGAATCATTACTCGAAACGTTTTCATGTTGTGCCTTTTATGTTGTGACTTTATTTATTTTTACAACTTGATTAACCGAATCACTGAATATAGAATAGAATTAATTGCATTTAATTAATATTTCTGTGATAAATTTCACAAATTTATCAAAATAGTTTTGGATTTAATTATAATTGCTATATTTAATTTATCTTATAATATGCTTAAATAAATGTTATATATAACTAGTTGAAAACTTGAGCCATTAACGTAAAGATGTATGCAGTATTATTCAAAATAGCAAATAGTTATTTGTTTACTTTTTATTCAAATTTATTACCTAAAACCTCGATTAGGTTTTTCAGAATTTATCTTTTAGAATGTTCATTTTCGCAGGTTGTGGTGGCTTGCTAACGGATAATGAAGGACGGATATCTTCGCCCAAACATCCGCTTAGGTACCCACATTCGCATACCTGCAGGTGGCTTTTAAGGGCTCCGGAAAAACATAGCATTCGTTTGACCTTCACTTCATTCTATCTCGAGGAGGACAATGAATGTCGGTTCGATTACGTTGATATTGAAGAAAGCAATGGGATGTCTTTGGGAAGGTGAGATGTGTTCTAATAACTAATAAAATTTTTTTATCTTCAGTTCACTGGTTATTATTATTACACTTATTACACTGTCATTATCATTATTATCATTATTACACTGTCAGAACTTCAAGGACGGCTGTTCAAAGAAGCAAATAAATATCGAGACATTTGAATAACTTGATAATTAAGATAAATTGTCATGTTATGACTAATTAGCATATAAGGATTTTTTTTTTTAATTTTACCAACCAGTTATTTTACTTTATTTTGCTTTGCTGTCTCTCTCGCGTTCCATTTTCCTGCAAGAATGCAAACTTCTAGTTCACATGCATTTAAATTGGGTAGAAAGGGTTAGTTTAAAGGAAGATTTTAGAGGGTTGAATCAGAGCGTGTTTCTGCCTGTTGAAGGTCACGTTCGTTGATTGATTCTCTTGAGAGCAGAATATCTGCTGCCATTAAGCTTGTCACATGAGCATTAGTTCAGAGTCTTGTCTGTATTTGTGTCTATGTAGCGTTTTGGCTGAGTTAAGTAACTTAATAATTTAAAATTCCTGACTTTTGATTTAAGTCATAAATGCTGGCTGTTCTGAAAGCACAAGTATTGCCTTCTGTTAACTTTGAGTTCAATAAAATGGTCTTCTACATTCTTCCATAATTACAAGATGTTGTGCCTTCGTACGTTTTTACCGTACAGATAATTAGATTTAATCTTAGAAGTCTTGTCCTAAAATATACTTCCAAAGAAGATTCTATGAGCGTTTAACAATAATATAAGTGTTTAAAGCGTCCTTTATAAGATGATATAAGCGTTTAAAGATGAATATTTTTTCCCATCAGTTATCTGATCTTTTAGTGATCCAATATTTATAAAAAAATATTATTCAAAATGCAATATTATAATTTAAATTTCCTCTACTGAAATTGAATGCTTAAATTAATAAGGTATTATAATTAAATTGATAAGATAGTTTAAAAAATTAATATAAATTGTCATCATAAAAACTATATAAAAGATTTGACTATGTGGGATTGTAATTATTCCAATACAGTACACTCCCGATTATAAACGCGGAATCGGGTGGCGCGGCCACCGTGGAAAACAAAAAACGCGGATAATCCGAAAAAAGCTAAAAATGGGTATAGCAAAAGAGAAAAGTCATTCCAACTTTGAAAAATCGTTTTATGTACAACAAAACGTGAAATAAACAGCAGGAAATGTTTAACTAACGCTTAATATTTTAGTATATCACTTAAAACTAACCTAAAATGCACTTTGTTAATGAAAACAGAAAAGTGCTTTGTACTTACGAGAGGCGTCAAGGATACACAGAAAAAATAATACGTATGTACTGTTTTAATACTGTAATGTATTATGTAATTACAAAAGCATAACTGTAAAACTACACCTTTTTGAAGAAATCAGTCATTTGTGTTTGCTTCTTGCTTTGGAAGCATTTTCTCTTGACTCGAGATTGCATTTTTCGTAACATAAGTTTCTCGGCCAACTCCGCGTCGTCTTGTTCTCCCAAATAGCTCAGCAGTCCATCGACTTGTTGCCGCTTCGTGAGACTTCCACATCTGCACAGTGGGCTCTTCTTCGCCTTCACTTCGCTCTCCTTCATTCTCGGTCTCTCCCCTTGCTTTCTTCACAATTTCGTCATCTGTCAAGCGTTCGAAGCCAGGTTCGTTGACGTCACACTCCAACCACTCGTTAATGTTTTCAGCATCAACGTTCTCACCACCCGGAACTGTTTTCACCATATCGGCGAGAGTTGGCGTAGGCGTGTCTACATCTTCATTCTCTTCCTCACAACTCAAAGGGGTTAGGTTGTTGCTGGCTTCAACATTAGGCATGAGTTTTCTCCATGATTTTATGAGGGTTGACGGTTTCACTGAGTCCCACGCAGATGCAATATCATAGATGTTGTCCAAGATTATGTAATGTTTCCAAAACTCTTTCAGATTATGACCTTCTTCAATTTTGGTCATTAACAGCTTGGTTCGGTATGTTCTCTTCATTGTTGCAATGACTCCTTGGTCCATGGGTTGGATTAGCGCAGTAACGTTTGGGGGGAGAAACTTTTCAAAAATTTGTCCATCAGAAGACTTTAGCACGCTTGTTGCTGGGTGAGAAGGTGCGTTGTCGATCAATAGCACAGATTTTTCAGGCAGGTTTTTCGATTTAAGATGTTTACGCACTTGAAGAACAAAGATTTATTCGAACCATTCTTGAAAAATGTTTCGGTTCATCCATCCCCCCCTTTTTTTTTTCCTTGTTGTTGTTAAAGTAATCAACGGGCAAATTTTTTTTTTTTTTTTTGCTTTCCAATCACAACAAGTCTAAGTTTATATCCACTGGTAGCGTTACTGCAAGACATGATAGTGATCCTTTCCTTGCTGCTTTTATGACCCGCCGCTTTACTTTCATTTTCAAATGCTAAAGTGCGAGTGGGAAGACATTTCCATGAAAGTCCCGATTCGTCGGCATTGTAAATTTGTTCAAAAGATAGCTCTTCTTTTAAAACAAATTCTTCAAATCCATGGTGAAAAGTGTCGGCTGCTTTTTGGTCACCACTAAGTTTCTCCCTATGAAGTCCAATTTCTCGAATTCCATGTCGCTTCTTTAAACGAGTCAACCAGCCAGAAGACGCATCAAAATTTCCTTTCAGGCCTAACAACTCAAAAAAGGTTTTTGCCATCGCCGCAATGATAGGATCAGTTACAAGAGTACCCTCTTTTCGAACTTCAGCTAACCACTCTGTCAATGCCGTGTCAAGCTTATCAAAGGTAGAACCCTTCATAGTTTTTCGCGTTTTCATTGCGGAAGCACTGTCCGACATTGATGTAAAGTTCACCAGTTTGTCTTTTTGCTTTAGAATATCACGCACTGTTGTTTCTGCGATTCCGTAATCCAATTCCATCTGCTGCCTTGTAGCGCCGTTTGCTACTTTGAAAATTAATTCTAGTTTTTGCGCAATCGTCAACATAACCTTCTTTCGTTTTTCTGACATTTTACATCGGTAACGAAAAAACAAAACCAAAAAGCGCAAGCACTGAACACAATAATTAACTCCGACCGGTTGGCAAACACTATCAGGCTTAACTCTTTCGCATCGAAGTCGCCTGTTACGCCCGTTCATTCAGGCAACGGCAAACCGCCCCAACGCCTCGTTTATTTTCTACCTAGTTCTTTCCCCTCCAAGTTAGTGTATGGCTCATTGGTTTCGCGAGTTGTTAAAAGACATGTCAATCATTCTTTTGAAGCAAATAAAGGAGAAATACGGAAAGCTATTGACGTTCGCAGGTGCAATCCGGCCCTAAGGTGAAACTGCCCGCAATGGATGAAACCGCAGGGGGAAAGGAAAACTATTCCAAGACAAATTCGTAAACACGGGCGTTTTCGATGTTTGTTGAAAACAGATTTGGCCGTCTCTCGATGCGAAAGAGTTAAACTAACAATGGCGAGTGGGAGGAAGTGAACGTGTCAATCAGATTAAGACGAGAGGGGGGGGAGCGGGCACTGCAAGGGTGAGTAAGAAATCACTCATGAGAGGGGAAGGTTCCGAGAAGGCCTGGTATATTTTTGCTATTTTGCTATAAATAAGCACGATGTTAGCAAATTTAACGTTTCGCTCATTTTCATGAACATTTTTATTTTCTTTGCTTTACGCTCGTAAAAAAAAAAAAAAAAAAAAAAAAAAAAAAAAAAAAAAAAAAAACTTTGTGCCGCAGCCGCTGATAATCGGGAGTCTGCTGTAATTTAAAAAATTAGTTAATGGAAACAGTAAAAAAAATTTGGCGAAAATCAATGGAACGGAGAGTAATGGAAAGAATAGAATCTTGCTTAACCAAAGCACGTGAGATAATTTTGAAACGACCTTTTATGTAGGGATTATCTGCCTATAAACATTTGAATTATAATTTAACAGAAATTTTCAGATATCCAAAATTTTGTAAAATTGCTAAGAAAACCAGTTAGTACCAGAAATTGATAGATTTTTGTTTCCTAAAATATTAATTCAGAATTTAAGAATAAAAAAAATCTGAAGCTTTCAGATTTTATATTACGCCCAAAGGGGCGTTTATTTAACGTTTTGTTTGTTATCTTTATTTTATCATGTTCTTCGCGCTTGAACCATAAAATTCAATCCAACAGCAATATCGAAAAATATTTAAAAGAGCATATCTCTAGAATTTTCGATACACCGTCTCGCGTGCTGGAGATAAATTTTTTTTTTTTTTTTTCTTCGTACAGTGTTGCCAATGCTCGCTTTGAAATCGTGGAGGTTCTTAATAAAAAACTCATAAATACTTTACAAAATATGAAATAGGAAGTAAAACAAATTCTGAATTTGGGCTTCCAGATGCATATATTCTGTCGGAAACGTACGTAATTCAAAATTGGATGGCTTTAGGTACCTTTGTTTTATCACAATGCGAGAAACAAGCATATATTTATGCAGATTCTTCATTATTTAGTTCCTAATAATAATACTATTTGATGGCAACAATTTCAAAAGTGGTTGGCCGTTTATAGGGAATCGACGCAAAATGCCAAAACGAAATTAATAGCCCTTCTGGGCTAACGCTCTTTTACGGTAGTAATAAATACAAAGTATAGTTTCAAATTGTAATTGGTTGCGCAAAAAGGTTTGTTAAGGTTGCTCTCAATCTTCCAGTGTGTTGTTACACTCACCCTTACTAACCCACGTTTTAAAATCTTTTTAGCTTTATTATTAAGCACCATTTTCTTCACAGTTACGCCATATACAATTCAACAGCAAAACTGCAATAAATTTAAAAGCGAAACAGCAGTGTACGTTTACAATACGCGATGCAGGGTTAAGAGTTGGAACACAATTTTCTATTTTTTCTGGTGCTTACCGGATCAGTTTTCTTACTAAGAGGGCTTTACAAAACTTTTATTTCTCTTTTTATTGTTAAAGTTTTACGTATTATTTTATTTATTAAGCATCACGTTCTGAGCGTTTACGCTACTGAGATTTCGATTC